CAAAAGATCCTAATTAAACGTTGTGAGCATGAGGTGAGCAACACACGTATACATGAAGGCATAACACACATGTGTGTAAATTTTCAAGGCAAAATAAGTTGAAATGAGGACTGTGCAAAAAAGACAAATCTGGGGCTTTTTAACACACGATACTATTCATTCTCTCAAGCCATGAATGTCTTTTGTACAGGTCACATTTCAACGTTTTTCATTCTAAATTTTTACACACATAGACATAACATACTTGTTTACTTGCAGAATTTTTTTCAGATTTTTCTGAAACCAAAAAGTTTGAACTTTGATTTGTTTTCAAAAAAAGGCCTCCATGGCTCCCGGGAGCCAAACGTCCGCTCTCCCAAACAACCCTTTTTAAAAAAAAAAGACTTCAGAATTATAAAAAACTGTAGTATTATGAGAATAGTTAGAAAATACTGTACTTTGTTATCAAACGGGTAGAAAGTGGGATAACTTAGTAAATAGAAGACAGGGAATGGATTCCCTCAAAAAAAAACAGAAAAAAAAAACAAAGGCCTAAGGAGTATGTTTGGATGGCAGTCAAAACACACTACCGATTATTTAGCCATAAGCAAAATTTTGGTCTTTTTCTTAATAGTTGCCAATGTTTCGTCATGTCAATGCCCCTTCGCCCACATTTCATTTTTCCCGAGCAATTTTAGTCAAATATTCGACAGGGCAATCTTGGGCTAAAACCTAGCGTACCCTAAGATACAAAACTTCTATTCTACTGAAACTAGCAACTTCATAATACATATGTAATTATACAATCTCACAAACATGTCCAACAGATAACAACTTTTTTTTAGTTGAACAGATAGCTAAGGACTCATATTATCAATAACAAAGGGTAGCATCACAAGTGTGTGCCTTGTGGTTACTACTCCCGACATGGTGATACCCGACCAGCATGCAGCCAAGCTTTCTCCAATTCCGTACCTTGATTGTCAAAAGATACAGGTGACATATAAATCTCAGCCAATAATGATGATGGAATAATTAACTTCACTTCGAAACAATTAAAGACCATGGTCAAAACATATTTCCTACCAAAGCAAGATGCTCAATATGTGACCCTGACATGAGCACCCCGGATATCATAGCATCAGATGCATACTTAATTGTACAGGCGCATTATTACAGCTAGTAGCAAAAACCTAGCCTTTTACTCCATATGTTTGCACATGCATTGATATGATTTCAGTTCATTATGCATCAGGATTTACTCTTGAATAAAATACTACCTTTAAATCTGCCAAAAGGTCTTATATTTAAGAACAGAGGATGTATTTATCTATATCTATATCTAATTCTAATAATAATAAAAGGGCTATTGCTTCTTACCACCGTAATTTCGTCCGTTTTTTGTCCGTCCACCTCGATCCTATTATTATTTTCTCCGTACCTTTTCAAGGTGGTACTAAACTGTTTTGTTTTTGCGCACTGTGCACCCGCAGGAAAACCTTCCTCCAGGAATTTCTGTACGTGGGCTGTCCACCGTATGGGCTGGGCATCTTCCGTATTTTTTTCCGCCGACAAGGAGCAAGAAAAAATTATATGCACGCAAGAGAATCCCACATCGCTCTTTCATTGTAAATTCTATCAATTTTTATATGCACGTGAGTTGACTCAGAGCAGTAGAGAGCGACAGAGATCTCAAGAAGAGAAGAGGGGCGCGAGCTCTAGCAGCTGACCATCACGGCGAGTGGCTAGCGAGTAGCGAGCGAGGTCTCCGGAGCAGAGAGAGCCAGCGGTCGACAGAGGCACCATGGTGCAAGGGAGCTCGGGGAGGAAGGGTATGGTGGACGGAACCACAGCGGCGGCTACAGGCAGGTGAAAACTGGGGACGAGAGGCTCGCCGGAGGACGCGCGCAGCGGCGCGGTCGCGTGTGAGGCGACCGGCTACAGGGCGTGCAGGCGGCGCTCGGGTAGTGGCGACGCGATGGTCGTCCGGAGAGGCAACGGGCAGCATGACGGGCGCGGGCGGCTGCCAAGGCAGGAGTTCGATCAGGAGGGTGGTCAGGACGCACGGCGGTGACCTGTGCGGGCTTCAAGCGGTGGCTGGTTGGGCGGCTCTTCTACGTAGAGGAAAAAGAAGAGACGAGCGGGAGAAGGAAGAGAAGGAGAGGAAGAGACAAATTCCACAACTCTGCTCCTCTAACCTTGCTAATGGCTCTCTGAATCTCCCTTTGCTGCGCTTCTTCTCTGAACCCCAACCTGATGCTGCTTCTTCTCTCCCTGCTACCCCAGTGCTGCTACTTCTCTGAACCTTCACAGCTACTGCTCCTCTTCAGCACTTTGACCAACAAGGACTAGACTCTCTCTCTCTCTCTCTCTCTCTCTCTGAAATTTATGTGAACTTGAGAAGTGTAATGTTCAGAATTATGTAATATTCAGATTTGATGAGTGCTCGCAGTCAGTGATTGGTTCAGTTTCATACTTGTAAATATAATGACATGTTTTGTGTGTTAAAAAAAGCACTGTGTATGTGTTAAGAAAAAGAAATATGGGGTTTATGAGCATGACAAGCTCTGCAGCTATATGGGATCTATCAGGATGTGCGTGTGTGGGCGAGGGGCTGCCCCTGTTTGAGTTTTTCATGGCAAGTTCTGTGACTATATGGGATTTCTTCATGACCATTAGCATGGATGTTCAGGTACAGATTTCTTCGGGACCATCAACACTCAAAACAATATGTATGCATGCAGAGAACAATTATACAAGGATGTGTGTGTCTATCCTACAATTCTACCACTACATGCATGTATTTGTTTATGGATCATTTACATTTCACAAGTTTTTATTGTCTCTAGGCAAGCTTAACTTAATTTCACGTGAGACAATCATCATGTACAGACCAAAATAACAATTGTTTGGATGATCATGAGACGATTGCACTGAATGCTTGGCACTGTATCAATCCTGAGACAAGATAAGCTATACAAAGGAACTTTCTGCCTAATCTGCTTGGAATATACTCCCTCTGTTTCTAAATATAAGTCTTTTCAGAGATTCCAGTATGGACTAAAATGAGTGAATCTACACTCTAAAATATGTCATTTAGGAACGGAGGGAGTAGGAAGTATGTGTGCCTTCTGTCTTCTTATGATACTACATTTGTGAACCAAATATGTTCACCGCATTTTCAGCTGCCTCTATGATTAGGAAGACACAACATACATAGTTTAGTTTTGTTGTTGTTCAATTCTATTTAACAGATGCAGACCAACACACAAGTTCAACTTATTTTACTGACACTTTTCTATTGAGAATTGTTTGTCATTAATTTTTCTCCCTATTGATTTATTTTCCCCTTAGGATCCATCAACAATCATTGCCATGATCTGACTTGCTTTCCCAATTGCGCAAACAAAAAAAATGCCTTGCATGCACTGCAAAATTTAGTTCCATTCAATACAAGCACATGATCTTCTTACAGTAATGTGAACAACAGACTGGAATTTTATTCCTTGGGTTCATATGTGGCATTTACTCATTTGATTTTTTTTATTAAATTTGCGAGCGAGCTATTTTATTTAGAGTGCACTTTAATAAAATGAAGGATCGTTCCAAGAGGTTAGTGTGGAATGAGTATTCCTACGAAATGTAGTGCAAAAAGAATTTGTAGATTTTTTTATAGGATTAATTCACTCATATAATAAGAGGGCCTAGAAAAAAAATCATATGGATTCAACCCTCTAAACTTTCAATGAAAAGATTTTGGATCAAAGATACCCTAAGGTGGAATAGAAAGACACCATAGCCACATTTATCATCAGAAGTGGTTGATGTTTGTTATGAACTATTTTGACTACAAATAATCAGAAATAGGCCAAATATTTATTAGACTCGGAGAGGATGTGGCGTGCAATGGTGTTGGAGTAGGCAGATATCGGAGTAGACGTGGCACGTTGACCTGCTTATATATATTGTTTTTCTCCCGTTGCAACGCGCGGGCATATTTACTAGTCAACACAATAAAAGCACAGTTCTACTTCTACACAATAACGGCTAAACAAAAAACAAGAGTGTTAACCACGCATAACTAATGCAAGTCAACACCATATGAAATAATATGAAAGAAAATCAGATGCATCAAAATCCATATACATCATACCCCAATGACTGGCAACATAAGACCACTGCAGATTTTTATATTTATAATCAGCAAGATTTATTTCCAAATGAGAATGCAAAGCAAAAGGATTCCATGAAAAATGTGACACCATAAAGCCACATAACTGTGGAGATAATTTGATGGTCGTCAATTAATCTTCCGAGTCTAGAAAGTTCAACCCATCTTTTCAACAAATCAATCATGTCTTTAACTTCCAGAAAAATAAGGTGGTTTTTGCGAATATCAGCTGAGAATTTGTCTATACTATACTTTTGAACTTATATATTGATACAACTCCTATATTGAATAGTTCATCGATTTATGTTCTGTCTTCGTTAATTACAACCTATGACTATCGCCTCCATCGTGTTAACCACTGTGCTTATTCAGTGCATGCTCAAGTAAGAGCAAATCTTGAGTCCAGTTAGCTATAACTTGCATTTGGTACCCTGTGCTGCCTTGTGTTAAACATGGTGCATGTGTAACTGAATATAATATGCATCCATTGTCCATCCTTGTATGGAGGCACAAATGCACAGCAATGCTTTTGCCCAGTCTGTCTAAAAGATTTGCAGGCAGTAATATTGTAAACACAACAAGTCCACAAAAATACTTTGTCAACAGCATTGGATAGAGGATATGGTAAAAACACAAAATTTCATATGGTAACTCACAACAAATAAACGCTACTGTCTGTCTAAGAACTTTTTATTTGATTGAGGCATTATGTTCCAGCAAAGAAAGCGTTTTCCATAGTGCTAAAAGGACAAGCTTTTGTAGTGCGTTTGAGCAAAGGATGGAAAAGAAAGGTGTGCTACAGCAGGTTCCGGATATAAATAAACTCACCTGCACTAGAGGAGTCAACGTATCACAGCACACTAGCAATGCTGAGGCCGAAATCGAAGCGAATGGACTTGTGATGGATAATGCGCAGTCCTCCTTCATCAGACACCACTTCCACCCCCGTGAGCACCCCAAAATTATTTGTTGTGCTGCGCTTATAGTCTGACATGTTCTCTTCCTTGTCATCATCTGAAGTTAGGAAGAACCTGGCAATGCAGAGTCTGCTAGAACCAAGAGGCAGGAGGTGGGTCGACCTGAGCTTCCAATCTTTCGGCCAAACCAGCTCTTTCCAAAGTATATGTGGCACTGGTGAGCTCACTGCGGACACGGCAATGAGGTCAGATGCGCAAAGCTGGTCGTCTTTGCCAAACATGCCAAACCAGAGATTGTGCTCGGGGACATACTCGGCACGACCTCTGAATGGCAGCTCCCAATTGCCAGCCTTCATCCACGCACCGCTGTTCATATCAAAGGAAAACGTGCCTGCACCCACTGTGGACACCCAGAACTGTGAATTGCCAACTACCGTGTAAGAGCTGACTTCAAATGGATGGTGACTGCCTTTCTCGTTCTGGTGGTAGGAGCGGCTGGGGAAGGGAGGCGGCTTGAGGGACTGCCAGTACCAGCCAGACATTGGTAATAAATATCTGGAATTGGGGTCGCAGCCATCATTCAGAGCCACGAACTGGTGATCGGCTTTACTCATAACTAACAGGCCGTTGTCACCGACAGCAATGGACATGGGTTGTAGCATGCACGTGGGCATCATGGGCATATTGGTGCTGATACTGCGTACGGGAGCGTCGTAAAGGTAGGAGCACCCTATGCTGTCCACGGCGACGATCTTATCCCGGTTGGCGCCGAAGGCCATGAAATCCATTGAGCAGGGTTGGCCCTGCCGGGAGGGCCAGTCGAAGGCGATGGTGGCCGGAGGCAGCTGAATTTCGTCCGGTGGTACAAAAGCTGAACCTTGTTTGGGAACTGGCGATCCGGTTGGGTAAAAGAAATCTGCCGGATTAATACGGTGTATGCTGAAAGGAATATGGCGGCCGTTCATGTGCTTGACCGCGAGATTCACAAACCGGCTAGCCATGACACCCCTTCCTCTCTACTTCCTCCTTGTTTTGGTATATCCTGATATAACAATCCAAAAGGAAGCAAAACAAGAGAATCAATAATGGTTGATATTAGCATCCGCGTACGTGAAAATTCTGGATAATAGACTCCACCGCAAAGGAAAAGAACGAGAGAGGTACCGGAGATAGATGTGAAGAAGATGCAAAGATCGGAGGCGGCGCCAGGAGACTGCTGCGGTGGGAGATGTGAAGAAGATGTTCACATAGGAGGCGGCGGCAGGGGAACGCCTGCGGAGGGAGATGCGACGCGATGATATATACCCTAATGCTCTCCTTCACCGCACGTTGCTGGGCTGGACGGGACACACGGACGAGATTCAGTGACTTGCGGCGACGACTAGCGGCCCGGCCCATTAGCGGGGTTGCTCACAGCCCGTGCTCTGGGTTAGCTCTGCTCCCGTTTTTCATGTTTTTTCTTTGGTTTTATTTTTTTCACCGGTTTCTTCATTTTACTTTCCTCTTTTGTTTTCTCACCGTTTCTTTTTCAATCCTTTCTTGGTTTTATTTTTTTCTTTCTTAGTTTTCTTCGATTTTCTTTATGTTTCTTTGTCGGCTTTCTTTTTTACAACACATGTCTATTTTTTCTTAGTACACAACATACGTTTTTAGAGCATACCTGAGACATTTTTCTGACATATGTTGGACATTTTGTAAATACATGATGTACATTTGTTTTAAAATACATGTTTTGAACACTTTTTTCAAATACATGGTAACAATTTTTTAATGGAAATAACTTTTTTAGAAATTACTTGAACATTTTTTTCATTACATAATAAACATTTTGTCAACTTTCACTGACAATTTTTTGAAACTTGTGAAGATTTATTTAAAATGTCGCGTACATTTTTTTAATGGAAATAAGCAGTTTCTTAACCTACGCGAACATTTTTTTACGTTGTGTATCTTGTTCCTACTTGGCTTGATTAGCATGAGTCACTGAATGCCGTGGGAAAGTAAGCATCCAATCTGGGTTTTTCAGGGCGCGGTCAAGTCTGACACGACTGTATGTGCCTCCCGCAACCTTTTTCTAAAAGGTCCAACAATTTCTGTTGTAGCACAAGTCCTGAAGTGCACACACGTCAGTAGCATCTCTAAAACCATAGATCTGGGCTTGACTGCGATTGCCAACTCCGTCATCTTCTGTCCAACTCAAAACTTTGTTGAAATCACCAAAAATTACCCAAGGAAGATTCCCTGTGAAGCCAGTCCATTCATTATATCCCAGGTCTTGTATCTTTCACCCACTTGTGCTTCTTCATAAACCAGCATCACACGCCAAAGAACAGGTTCTAATCGTTCAACTTTTGCATCAATATGGTACTGAGAGTAGTTCAAAACTTCTAATGTTACCTATTTATTTCAAAAGAAACAAAGACCACCACTCCTACCGGAGCTGGCAATATGGAAACAATTATCATAACCTAACGCAGGTGCAAGAGCTTCTACTCTAGTGCTACTGATTTGGGTCTCCACGATCCCTAGCACCTCCGGGGCAAATTTCTTCATGAAGTCGCAAACTTCTCGGACTGTCGTGGTGTTGCTATTAGGGCATATTCTCCCTTAATAGTTTGGTGATTGATGATAATGATTTTGTGGACTAATCGTGTGCACTGAGCAGATCAGATAATCTATCATATGGCACAAGATGATTCGAGCCCCTCGGAGTTTTAAAAGTAAAGACGGTTATTTTCCTGTATTTCTTTTTCGGTGGATTTGAGTCATAGGAGAACCTTACTATTAAGTGAGGGTCCGCTTCGGAAAGGTTTGGGTGGAATCAACACGTACACATTTTCATTTCCACCCTTGTTCCTTTCCCGCGTCGATGGAGTTTGCTCCTCTGTTTTCTTTGCATGTGTCCTGAATCACTAAAATACACTTTCGTGATGACACGTGTTTGTCACAGTAGGTCACGTTTTCTGTCATGCATGCACATTCGTGATGATTTTATGACAGAATCAAGATAGTTATACATGTGTTGTCATAGAAGTGTTTCATGACAATACTCAAATTATTGTCATACAAGTGTCCTCTTCCATGACGATAATTGACACGTCATGGAAGTGCTTTCGTCAAGGGCAACTGACACGTGGCTTCCATCGTAATGGGTCGTTGATAACCCACAAGTATAGGGGATCGCAACAGTTTTCGAGGGTAGAGTATTTAACCCAAATTTATTGATTCGACAGAAGGGGAGCCAAAAAATATTTGCAAGTATTAGCAATTGAGGTGTCAATTCAACGACACAAGGAGAACTAAATATCTTTAGTAGAGTGATCAGTGACACAATAGTATGGTAATTTGATAATAATAGCAAGGTAGCAATAGTAACAGTAACAGTGACACTGACAATAGAGTGGCTTTGGTTAGTGTACTTGGCAAGGACAACACCTAGGATTACCAGTTCCACCTGTGATTCGGTCGAGATGTTCCTTATTAATCCCATGGCTATCATGACAGGATTGCTTTCAGCGGTGTGTGTTGCTCGGCAATCTACTTTGTTCTTTGCTCCCAGAAATGAAGAATTCCATATGCTCATAAATAATGGACTAGTTCTGGAAGGAATCAATCTATCTCTAGATGGTACTGAAACTCTGAATCTGTCTGATTGCTTGCTGCAGCTAAATACTTCTGAATCTCTGATTGAGACTTGGCTCAGTCGTAGTTATGGGCCTGATGTACTAATGTTGGCCCAGTCTTCAAACCTGATCACTCCCGCTCAAATTAATGGGGCGGTTATTGAGGTTCAATCTGAGTTTGACACTAGCCCACAGCATTGTAGCCGTTTGGAGGAGGTTCGGGTAGCACTGACATGCAAGCCAGCCTGCACCTTTTGCTCGCATGGTACAAAAGGAATCTTAGCACATTGACACAACTATGCTTAGGCGTAGCAACAGATGCAATAAATATGATGGGTTCAGGGTGCCACCACCGCCAGATCGTAAACAAACTGCATCTAAGGTCAAGGCCAGAAAGCAACATTTTGTACAGCGCTCTTCTTCTGCTACTGCCCCTACTGCACCGCGAACTCCTCTCTCCACGATATACCTCCACCAACTCCTCTTTCCACGATACAGAGTATTGGCACTAATATGTGTGGAACTCATCCTGATCACCTCAGCACCGCGAAGCTTCTAGCCAGCCATAAGGAGGACATGGAAAGGCGCCCGTGAGCCCATGTCACAGAGGAAGCTATGGAAAGTTCTCTGCTGGAACATGTGGGGAATAAATTCGGAAGAAAAACATTTGGCTCTTCGTAATGCTATTTCTAGTAGTGGATGTTCATTTGTGTGTTTACAAGAGACCAAGAGAGTTATGTTTGATATGTCTTTTGTGAAACTTTTTTGTCCTAGGAATTTCGATCAGTTTGTCTTTATGCCTTCGGTTGGTGCCTCGGGTGGTCTGATCACAGTGTGGGACAGTGCTACTTCTTGAGCTTGCATTGGTTTTTCCCTTGAAGAGGAAAGGGTGATGCAGCACAATAGACATAAGTATTTCCCTCAGTTAAGGACCAAGGTATCAATCCAGTAGGAGAAACGCGCAAGTCCCCAATAGATGCACCTGCACAAACAATCAAACACTTGCACAAAAGATTGTGAACTAACCATATTCACGATAACATTTAGGTCTCATGGGTGATGGCGCTCCCACCTCTGACCTCGGCGCTAGTCTCTTCTCTGGCGATCTCCCTTTCTCTCCACTGATCTGCTGATCGGTTTCGATCATCCTCTTCGGCGTCTTCTCTGGATCAAGGCAATACCCATCTCCAATGGGTTCTACTGGTGGATCTACCCTTGGCTTGGATTTCTCCAAGGGTAGGGTTTTCTCGGATGAAGCCTTCAGATCTACTGGTCGCACAATTCATCCACTGGGAAGAGGGAGATCTTTCATATTGATTGTGTCCTTCAGTAGGCATGCCTTCCGTTTATCTGAGGATTCAGTGGCAGCGGCGCTGGAAGCTGCGCTTGGTGGTTCTGCAATTGATCTTCGGGTTAGTCATGTCAAGGACAAAGTTTTTTCTTTCCAAGTTTCATGCATGCAAGTTGGCTTTATTATTATGGATCTTCGCTCTTTTGCTTGCGATCTGTTCAAGTGCTATTTTCATCTATGGGGGAATGGAGGACCAAATTGGGTCAGAGAACTTAAGATCTGGCGTAAAGAATGTGATGCTGAATGGATTTTGATTAGCCCCACTAAGCGTAGATCTTCGCTTGGTTTATTGGCTATGCATAAACCCCCTGTTAAGTCTGCTTTCAAATCTAGATCTTCTGCAAATAAGAAACTGTCGTTTGCCACTTTTGAAAAGTATTCGGCTTGCAAGGGCTATAGATACCCTGCATCTCAGGTTTGCATTGATACTATAGTTGATGGGGGTTATGATCTTTCTGCTCATGAGAGAGTTGTCATTCGGCAACCTCCTGCTCCTGGTTTGCATTGGACGGTGACGTAGCCACCCATAGTTTTTGGTACGGTTAATAGTTCACTGGAGTTACTCCGGCGGCCGGATGCGCTTCCGATGGTGGACGAACCGGTTTCAGTGGATCCACAAATCGTGAGGTCCGGTAATCTCGCAGCGCAATTTCAGGAAGCGGGAACTTCGTTAATTCAAAATAAGGCTTTTGCCCCTGGGCCCGCTCAGTTTGGGAACCCGCAGGGTGTGGGCTTGGTGGCCCATGATGATTCACTTACTGGGCCAATACAGGATACCCCCTCTACTGGACCTTCTGATGTTGGTTTGGATTCGCCTGCGCACCTCAGCCCGTCTAGTGAACCTATGCAAATTCCTTCTTCACAAGAGGCAGCGCGACTTTTTGAAGCTATGGTCGATGACATGGTGGACCAAGTTCTAACATGTACTGATTGCGGTCAGAAGGGCCACATGGCAGTCACTTGTGGAAGGCGAGCGGTCTGTTCGGCTTGCTCCAGGGTGGGTCACTTTAGACGTGACTGTAATGAT